ATGGAGATTGACCAACTAGCAGCAACGCCAATTTCCCTTACTTTCTGAACGAAGGCTTTTCTCGACGAATCCGATGATCTCGTGTCCTTAGACACACCCCATTATAGTTTTCCTCTGTGGCATCATCGGGACGGAAATTCATTCCTTCTTGCGATCTCATCGACGAAAAGAGCTTACGACCAGTGAATATTGCGCGTCCGACTTAGATTTTGTGAGTACGTTCATCTATCATCCCGTCAACCGCGGTTTCGTTATTGAACCTAGGATCATTGTCATTAGTTCCTCGAGTATCTAATTACCACGGTTACTTGTCCGGTTCTACGATAATCGTATTTGCACTAGTCAATGTCTTCTCTATTGCGCAACGACAACGTGTAATCCCAACAAAGATTCGTTTCACGCCCCTAACCCTAATTCTAATGTAAACCCGACATATATATTACCTCGTCATTTATTACGTGACAAAATAAACGTCGTCCCCGACATATATATTACCTCGACATTTATTACGTGACAAAATAAACGTCGCTGAGAGAGTCGAAAATTTGTCTCTTCAAATTTTAAGCGGATACGAGTTATCCCCACTACTTCGCGGAACTGATCACTGCAAGCAGTTTCCGGTGTTTTCTTTGTCTGCTCCAGCGATAACGCAATTACTCATAAATTTTCAAAGTAAGAAAAACGAAGTTTTCATATTTTTTATTTCATTGATATAAAACTATTTAATTGGATTTTTGAGAATCTTACGATCAAAATGATATTGGACAATAGCTAAACACTCGAAATGCGCAACGTTTAGTCAACTGCACAGAAGACGATACCTAAGTCCGACACAGCTCTTTGAAGTTACAATGAATGTTAATACTAAATCCGTCGTTTAGAGATACCTTTGGCTTCTTATGACACTAAACTAAACAACTTCCGTTATTTGCTGACTAGCCCAATTGGATCCAGACACTGGTTAAATTCTATTTCTTTTGACTTTATTTGTCTAGATATAAAATCTGTAAGGTATTTCGTTGTATCTCAATTGCTTCTCTTGTTCCTTATTCTTACATTCACCGTATTCACAAAACAACGATCCAAAGACAAGTAATAGCGGTCAGTTTGTGAAAAGTGCTTGTTAACAAATTTTAAATTACAACGAAATGAAATTGTTCAACACCTTAAAATTGAAAATTATCGAACTAAGTAGGAAAAAGGCCACAATGTTTGTAGAAAAACTGAATAATTGTATTATAATTCACCAATATCGCCATTTTCAATTTAACAAAATTACATCGTAATTATATTTCAGGTATGCGTGAACCAAAATACTATTCATAAAAAGAAATTTGCTGTATGTAGCGAAAAACCGAGTTACGTCGCGTGAGATAAACCGTACGTCATCATCTCGTTGTCAAATTTTGGCGCCTCTACATATTCATGGAGGCGGACATAGCTGGACCCCGAACGTGGACTGCAGGCGAGGGTCGCGGCCTGTCGAGGAGGGGACACGCGCGCCCACCGCCAAGATGGAAGGTTAAGGAGATGAACGGGGATCTACTCCGGGAGGCTGCCATAGGAACAGCTTGGAGCTGGGAGGCCCCAACGACGATGACCGAGACAAACGTGGAAGAGGAAGCCGAGAATCTACGCCGAGCCATGACAGCAATCTGCGACGCATCCATGCCACGCGCCACACTAGGTACGGTGCGAGGCAGGGCAGTCTACTGGAACCCTGACATCGCGGAGCTGAGGACGAGATGCATCCGAGCCCGAAGACAGTACCTAAGGGCCCGCCGCTGGCGACGACGCGACGAAGAAGAAGTCTCCTCGCACTACCGGGCGTACCGCGTGCTACGGCGCTCGCTGCAAAAGGAGATCAAAAACGCGAAGGACCGTGCCTGGTCCGAACTGATCGGAACAGTCGATGCCGACCCATGAGGAAGGCCGTATAGGACGGTGACGCGGAAACTGCGCGCGAAGGGCCCCCTGGCAACGACGGAAATGGATCCCTGGCAACGACGGAAATGGAACCTGCGCTGCTGCGGCAGATCATGGCGACACTGTTCCCCTCGCAAGAAGACAGGGCGACAGAACGGTCGCGGGAACCGACGCGGACGTTGGAATGGAGGGATGACTGAGAAGTCACAGAGGAAAAGATATGGGAGGCGGGATATGGGAGGCAACCAGAAGAATGACCTCCCGCAACGTGGCACCGGGCCCGGACGGAATCCCTGGCCGGATCTGGGGGGAAGTGATGGGGGTCATGGCCCCCAGACTCCGGCACCTCTTCACAAGATGCCTGAGGGAGGGAGTCTACCCCCGGGCGTGGCGGACGGCGAGACTGGTCCTGCTCCATAAAGAGGGCCGACCGACGACCTCGCCGTCAGCGTACCGGCCGATATGCCTGCTAGACGAGGTCAGCAAACTACTCGAGAGTTGGCACGAAAGCCAGTACGGCTTCTGGAAGGGACGCTCGACGACTGACGCGGTCAGACGCGTGCGGGCACTGGCAGAGGACAGAGTTTCCCGGAACGACGTGGCGCTGGCGGTTTCCCTGGACATCGTCAACGCGTTTAACTGCATGCCGTGGGACAGGATACTGACGGCCCTGGAGCATTTCGAGGTTCCCAGCTGCCTCGTCTGGCCCTCCGCAGGGAGGATTCGCTTTTGCGAGTCTATGGGGGCTGGCAAACCCACGTTCCCGCAGCCAGGGAGGACCGTCGGGACAAGCGTCCCGCTTACGTGAGTCCTCTATGTACACCGCAAGGAAGGTTGCTGTGGTGTAAGACTAAGTCTTCCCCACGGAGCCTTGGGTAGTAGCGCACCCACGATCCTGAAGCCAAGGGTGAGACCGTCGGGAGAGCCGCCGAGGTACATTTCCTCAACTCCCGCTTACGTGAGTCTCATCTGGATCTGACCGCCGGTTAGCAGGTAAGCCGTGCGGCAGAGACGTGGCGGTACATCCACATGCGCGGTCCCACCGTTGACATATGAACGGTACCACGGGCGGTCGAGTGTTAGCCCAGAGGGCGTAGCGAACCCTTGGCTCGACCAATAATGGGTATGGACTCGTGGTGGCAGTGGTTGTGGCCAAATGCTGGCAAGAGGGCTGGATTAAGGAGGACAAAGTCCTCCGAGTGGCCTTCGGCGGGTGAGCAGCGTCCCACCTGCTCCGGATACCGTCCCGGAAGACGGAAGGGCTTGGAAACGCCCCGTTCGACCTGAGACGATAGAGCCTCCTGCGGGCCAATAATTAAGGTAACCGGTACTGAGTACCGAGTGCGCTGGTTGGGCGTATCCCAACTCCAATGGCTTCGAGGGTTGCCCGGGCGCTGT